ACACACACACACACACACACACACACATAGACAGACACTCACCTTTGCGGAGGTGCTTTTTCTTAGTCTTGCGTCGGATGCTGTTGATTCCTGGCACGGGTTTCAGGTCACTCTTGCTGACCGACGGTGGATGGAGGATCGGTTTAGGGGCCCGAGTCAAACACACGGGGAGCCCGGCGGCACACATGAGGATACCAGTCATTCCTGACCGAAAGACACAAATATGCTCAGGCACCAACAAGACCAAGATCATGGGTTCGATTCCCAGGAAATGCATGAACTAATAAACTGTATACCTTGAATGCAATGCAAGTCGCTTTGGATAAAAGCATCTGCCAAATGCATTAATGTAAATGTAACTTATGTCCAAATTTTTCATTGGTACGTACTTGCTACGTGCATGTTAAAATAAAATAACTGCTATATCTTTGTACACAGTTAAGCTGTTTACTTGCATGTTAAAGTAAAACAAATTAAAACAATTTCTGTACTCCATACAGAGCTTACTAGCATGTTAAAATAAAATAATTTCTATATACCTATGTAAGAGTTACGCAGCATACATGCATCTTAAAATTCTCTGTACACCTTTGTACAGAGCTAAGCTGTTTACTAGCAAAATAAAATTTATGGTAATTCTTAATCCTAAATTCTTAATTGATGTATTTTTGTAAAAATCATTCTTTGGTACATAGATTACTTGCATGTTAAATTTTTTTTTTATAATAATAATAAAAAATAAATAAATAATTAAATTAAATTAAATTAAATTTACTGATATACATCTTTGTACGCAGTAAAGCTGTTTACTTGCATGTTAAAATAAAACAAGAAAAACTATTTCTATACACTTTTTACAGAGTTAAACTGTTTACTTACAAAATAAAATGTGTGTTAATTCTAAATTCTAAATTATGAATCTATGTAATCTATTTAAATTTTTTAATCATTCATTGTTACTTAGTTTACTTGCATATTAAAATAAATAAAACATTTCTATAAATCTTTGTACAGAGTTAAGCTGTAATTTTTGTCATGCCAATGAAGTTCTTTACACTGAAGTGAGTTTGAGATTGAAGAAACTGGATTTTCTGGTGTAGTACCTGCTAATGCAGGATGGACCGGTCCTGAACCAGTGAGATTCTTCACAGGAAGTGCAGGAACCCTAAATGACAGGAAACAGATATCAGACAGTCAATGATCCACGTGAACTGAAACATTTACAGCTGATATTCTGCCAGAGACCATCCAAATCTCTGATGTTTCATACATGCAGCAAGTCAAAGCCCTGCTGCTGATCGAGCCGCGTAAGCGACATGAGAGCGAGATCCTACCGTCTGTCCTCGTCTGAGTCTCCATCCGTCTCCATCATCTCTCCTGCTCTCATTAAACACCAGACACACACAACACAAACTTCCTCTTCTGATCACACACACACACACACACATACACATACACACACACACACACACCAGCTGCACCAGGAAGTCAAACAGGAAGTTAGAGTCAGTTTTAGAGATGATCTGAACTCTGTTCAATGACTTCAGACTCATGTTTACATGAATTTACTGAATGAAACAAGCCAAAAACAAGATAACACTGAATCTGCCTCACATACCATTATGAAAAGTACCGTACCATGGTACATTAAGGCATCACATGGTAATAATAATATATATATATATATAAATAGTTTTTTTTTTATTATTTTATTTTTAATTATTTTTTACATTATCTCTTAACTCTGTACAAAGGTGTATATAAATAATTTTCCTTTATTTTTCTTTTCTTTTATTAAATTAATATTCAAAGGAACAGCTTAAATCTACAAATGTGTATAGAAATGGTTTTCTTTTTTATTATTTTATTTTATTTTATTTACATTCAAGGAAACAGCGTAACTGTAAAAAGATGTATAGAAATGATGTTCCTTTATTTTTCTTTTATTTAATTAACATTCAAGTAAACAGCTTAACTCTATACAAATGTGTATAGAAATGGTTTTATTTTTTGAATTCAACATTACAGTGTAATTGAGAGCTATCAATCTGAACATTTATTAGACTTTAAAAATAACTTCAAATTTAAGTGAACTTAAAACAATCTTCACATAAACCCATTATAATAAATGTCATATTTACCTGTGCCCTTCAGCAGAAATAGACAGAAATTGAAATTATCAAACACTAAATTCTAAATAAAATATATATGAATCCTTAAAGCTATAAAAGTTATTTTTTCCTCTCTTTTTTTCTTTGTCCTTTTATTAATAGACATCACAGCAGCTGGTTATTAGGTTGTTTTGGCTGCTATTACTTTAAGAGCTGCCGCTGCTGAACGTGACGCGGATCTGACAAGCATCATATTTTCTCTCAACTCTCTTTAGCTTTTCTGACCCATTTCAGGTCTTACAGTCTCTAATATTGAGCTGACGAGTTAAATCGGGTGTGTTAGATGAGTGAGACAGTGCTGGGCTGCTCCAGGACAGTTTTGAAAACCATTTCAGAGACATGTTCTTAAATGTGACTCGTATAAAATATATTACATGCATGCACAGTTTTAAGGCAGCTTTAATCGCCTTTTTGGTAACTTCATGACTTAACTATGACCACGACACTGCATGCACGTAGTTTATTTCGTGCTTTGATATGAAATGATACAGGCTACAGCGTATGGGCTTACATTTCTGCCATAATTCTGCTTGCGAAAGATCATATTTTGAGCGCACAAAAGTGCATTTTGCACACGCTGATCTGAGTTTGTGGAGAAAATGTTCGTTTCGCAAAGAAAAAAGTATTTCGAGCGCACGGAAATCAATTTTGCATTTAAAATAAATTTTTTGGATGTGTGCAGACCTTCTCTTTTGCGCGTGCAACGTTTCACTAGCTTGCTCACCTGATGCGCTCTGTGCTCGCAAAATGCCAACAGCTCGCGTGCTCAACACAACCCAGCGTTACAATGTGCCATAAAATTACTTAAATGATTTTAGCAAATGGCTGCAATATAACAGTGAAAAATTTAAGGGGGTCTGAAGACTTTCCGTACCCACTGTATATATATATATAAATCAGTCTTCAAGTATTTTACTACACTTCA